CAGCCCGCATACATGGGGTTTCGGGTATCATTATTAGCATATGGTATATTCTCATGCAATTGTTCATCTTGATGGTCACTTCATCCTCCTTATGTCTAGGAGTGAATAAGACGGATAGACAGTCATTGCTTTCATTTAAAGCTAAAATCGTGAATGACCCACTGGGCATTCTTAGCTCCTGCAATGAATCCCTCCACTTTTGTCAGTGGCAAGGCATTGCTTGTGGCCGCAAACACCAGAGAGTCATTGTGCTGGACCTCCAATCAAGCCGGCTGAACGGTCAGCTACATTGGAAACTTGAGCTTTCTCATAACTTTAAACCTCCAAAACAACAACTTTAACAACACCATCTTTCAAGAAATTGGTCGTTTGTTCTGTTTGCAACAACTACGCCTTCAAAACAACTCCTTCAATGGTGATATTCCATTCAACATATCACATTGCTCTAAACTCCAAATACTTCGCATAGCTGGAAACCATCTTAGGGGCAAACTTCCAATTGAAATTGTCTCCTTGTCCAAGCTTCAGGTACTCAATTTAAGTGGGGAAATCCCACATTCTTTTGGAAATTTTTCTTTCTCTCCAGGCGTTAGATGTGGAAGAAAATAATCTGTGTGGAGGCATTCCAAATAGTTTTGGCCAGTTGAAAAGTCTAACATATCTTTCATTGGGTCAAAATTATTTGAATGGTACCATCCCTCCCTCCATATACAACCTCTCATCAATTACAATCATTTGAATGGAGCTCTTCCTTCTGGGTTGGGCCACACTATATTGCCAAACCTCCAACAATTTTATTTCTGGTCCAACCAATTCAATGGACCGATACCAAATTCAATCTCCAATGCCTCAAACCTTTCACTTTTTTCATCTCATTCAATAAGTTTACTGGAAAAGTGCTACCTGAATCCATCAGCAATCTCTCAACAGAGCTCAAGGATATTTTTCTTCCTTTTGTCATTTTCTTCCACCTTTTGTGCATTTTTTTCTGCTGCAATCATGCAACACGTATGATGAAGGCAAAAATGTCCAATTCACTATAAAATCCCACCAAAATTAGAAAACGTCGAAGAAAATAAGGGTCAAATGAGAATTCCTCTTGTTAAAGGGCCTGTATATATATATATGCTTGGTGGCAGTGAGACCGAATGGAAAGCACAAAAGAAAAGAAAGGCAGAAGTAGCCAAAGTAAGCCGAGTAGAGAGAAGACGACAACGCACGATTATATAAAAGCAACACGTGTCTCCTACCTTTTTCATCAATGACAAAAGGAAGAAAAAAATGCACAAAAGGTGGAAAAATGGACGGGAGAGAGGAAAGGTTTCTAGTAGGGGTGGGCATAAAAACCGTCAAACCGCAAAACCGCATCGAACCGTATGAAAAAAAACCGAAAAAAACCGTGTTGATTGGAAAAGTCAACTTTGAGTGAAAAACCGAGCCGGACCGTTCAAACCGGTTCCGGTTTCAATTTCGAATGATTAAGAACTGGCCAAACCGAACAGAACCGTTTTATTAATAATTAATTAATTAATTAATTATATACACACATGTCATGGTATAATAGGTTGAAAAATTGGTTTCACTAAATTGCAAAATAAAGGAGCCTATCCCAATTAGGGTTCACTTTCCCTCACACTGTCACACACACGACTTCACACACACACACCTCATTCATTCCTGAATCCTGATTCCCCCATTTCACACAAAAACAGTCGACCCCACCGACCCCTACTCACGACCTCTCATCCTTAACTGCGACGGCCCTCATCTTATCCCTCCTCCGCGACAGCTCACGGTACTTCGTCCTCTGTCCTCCCTCCTTGGTATTTTCTCTATCTATATCTAATTGTACATGCTTAAAATAATTGGTGAAATTGCAAAGATCATGTGCGTTTCTGGGTCATCTGTGCATATGTTGGTTTATGGTTAATCGAGTTTGCGATTTGCAGCCCAATATAGAGATTTTTTCTCTTACATTACATGCCTACATGCGAATGTGTAACCTGTTGTATCCTATGAGCTAATGTTTGTTGACGATGTTAGGGCATTTGCATTTGGAAGACAAGAGAGTGTTGTGATGTCATTTGTGTTACTGCTATTTGAGATGTGGATTCTTTGTCTATAGTAATCGTAGTTTCTTTTGCTAGCTTTCTATGTGATTGTTTAGGCCAAGATTCTACATTTCTGGTATTCTGGTATTCTAGTTGTGAAATGTTGATGCTCTCTACTTGTAATGCGTAATCTTTTTTCGTCGAATGAATTGGAATATGAAGCTTTTGTAGAGTGGTAATTGCTCCTCGTTAATGCTTCTCTCCTTGTATTTTCCCCTCTGTCTCAAACATGTTAGCTATTGTTCCCTTAGTTGATGTCTTCTATGTTGAAAATTAGTAATATCTTGACAAGCCAAAAAGGAATTTGATGCATTTAACGAACATGAACCAACTAACCAAGTGTAGAAGACAAACTTAAGGATAATGTTAGACCTACTTCTACTTGAGCTTGCTGACAGATAATTGACTTTGTATGTGCAACTTATCAATGGCATTTATCAATGGCTTGGGCTAGTATATTCTTTTGAATTGCTTCTTGACGTCTCTGCCGCTAAATATGAGGTTTTGTGAAGAATTGCATTCGCTGAATTTGTGAACATGCATTGAATTTCAAGGTAACAAATATAGGTATAGCGCACCTGGTGAAGGACTGCAAACATATAGTTGATTTGAACGTAAGTGGTTGTAAGGTACTTGTCACTTGGTCCCATCCTATTTTAGTGCTTTGTGAGTTGCAAACTATACGCTTTGAAACGTATATGCATAATCTGTATAGTTTCTATTCAACCTTATCTTTGCAAAAGATTGGTTTTTATTGTCCTCAAGTAGGTTATGGTATGCTTCAGATGTATCCCTTATTTAAGTAGGTACCGTAGGTGACTGACTGATATGTTATATTGGCTAGTCAACCTTTGAGTTTTAATAATTATTTGTTAAGAATTTATTTCAATTGTTTATTTTGATGTGGAAATCACAGAACCTTTCAGACAAAAGCTTGCAATTAATTATTAAAGACAAGGTAATATATTTGAAGGTCTAGCAGTAATAGATTCTAATTGCATTGCATGAACATTCAAACTGCTTAGACATACATGTATGTTTTTGTTGATGCTTAACAGTAGCATTTTTATTTTTGTCTATTTTAGGGATGACGAACCAATAAACATCACATGGTTTTTGTTCTTTTGTTGCATCTGTTTCTTCATCATCGCCTTCATCATTACCGGGTCCAACACCATCACCACCAACTCAAACAAAATCCCAACCACCAACTCCACCACAACCCGAATCACCAATTCCACCCCAAGCACAATCACCAACCCAACCGAGTGGTATTCCTCCATTGCCTAAAAGGAAGGAACTCAATCAGTGCTGAATGGGTCTGCTTCTTTTATTCCACATCTACAACATCTCATCATCTCATGCCAGCACAAGTTGATAAAGTAGATATAGAAGCCCATAAAATAACTAAAATTTTGGAGAGAGAAAAACGTAGACTGAGATTTAGATCTTGGGAAATTTTTTCTTTTCATGGGGTTTTACAACTTGGCTGCCATGGTTATCAATTTCAAAGAGGAGTGAAACAACTGGAATTTGGGAAGCATGGCTTCCGGTTTTCATCAGGTAGAGGGAAGACGGGAGAAAAAAATATCAAGTCTAATTGTGATTTTTTTAATTTTTTATTGTGTTAGTGGTGGGACCCATATGCATTATTGGAATTTTATAGGGGTGGGCACGGTTTGGTTCGGTGCGGTTTTGAGTGAAACCGAAACCGAAACCGAAACCGAAATTTTTTGCGGTTCGGTTCGGTGCGGTTTTGAAGTTAAAACCAAAATGAAACCAAACCGTTTGGTTCAGTTCGGTGCGGTTTCAAACGGTTTCGGTTTGGTTTTTAAGAAAAAATGTACAATTTGCAATTTAACATATTAATAAGCATTTCCCAATAGCAATAGGAAAAAGACATTTGTTATGTAAACAATTAGCATGTTGCATGCAGTTGTGATGTTAAAACATATTTGTGCAACAAAAGGGTGTCCCTTACAATGTTTATCATAAAACAAGTTGAATAAATTTGAATTCATTAAACGTGAGCGAAACTTTGATACTAGAATATGTGATATCATGCTTCAAATGAGTGGACTTCATTAGATCATTGTTCGACTCTTGATAACAAGATCAGTTCACCCTTGTACATAAATGTGTGTGTGATGGTATAAAATAACAAAGGTCCTTCAAGTTAATGAACAAAAGAAAGTGATGAATAATGATATTCTAGTGTGGTTGAGTCCCATACTAAGTGTATGGATTCTAACAAACAACCAATTAAAACATAAAATATAATATGGACATTTAATTAAATGTTTATTAATATTTGCGGTGCGGTTCGGTTTCGGTGTGGTTTTCAAAAGCCAAAACCAAAACCAAACCGTTTTCTATGTTGCGGTTTGGTTTCAAAACCGAAACCATTTCAAAACCGCAAAACTAAACTGTTCGGTGCAGTTCGATTTGGTTCATGTTTCGGTTTCGGTTTTCGGTTCTAAGTGCCCACCCCTAGAATTTTATAGAAAAGAAAAAAGATAGGTGAGTGAACCCCATGGAAATTTCCCTAGGAGAAATCATTGTACCCGAGAGAAATTATTACAGAGTAGGATTCTCTCTTTTCCTAATCTCTTTTTCTTCTTCTATTATCTCATATTTAAACGGTTGCGATTAAATTATATCTACATCTTATTTTAAATTTGTTATATAAAGAATAAGATAAAAAGAAGAGTATGAGATGAGGGGATAGAAGAAGATGGTAATAAGAGAGGAGATAATTCTACTCCAATTATTATGGACTGTGACCTTCGATCTAAAATAATTGTAGCCGTAGAAATATGACCGCTTGACTTCTTGAAACCCGCAGAGTAAAAGTCGCTGCCCCCAAGCCATAATGATAAGAGTGTTAAATATTGGAGTATGTCTCACTCCACAAAGTATCTGTATTAGGCTCATTGAGCTAAAGCTATAATTTTTGCAAGGTTTTTTCATGTGTAAACAGCCTTTGGTTCTTGACTCGAGCTTTACTTTGCAGAGCGCATACATGGGATTCTCGAGTATCATTAATATTATCTGGCCAATTCTTATGCAACTGTTTCTCCTGATGAGTACTTCATCCTCCTTACATCTAGAAGGGAATGAGACGGATAGACAGTCCTTGCTTGCATTTAAAGCTAAAATCGTGAACGATCCACTGGGCATTCTTAGCTCCTGGAATGAATCCCTCCACTTCTGTCAGTGGCAAGGCATTGCTTGTGGCCGTAGGCACCAGAGAGTCACCGTGCTGGACCTTCAATCAAGCCGGCTGGACGGTCAGCTATCTACCCACATTGGGAACTTGAGCTTTCTTAGAATTTTAAACCTCCAAAACAACAGCTTCAACAACACCATCCCTCAAGAAATTGATCGTTTGTTCCGTCTGCAACAATTACTCCTTGAAAACAACTCCTTCAGTGGTGATATTCCATTCAACATATCACGTTGCTCTAACCTCCAAATACTTGGCATAGCTAGAAACCATCTTATGGGTAAAATTCCAATTGAAATTGGTTCCTTGTCCAAGCTTCAGGTACTTAAATTAGCCAAAACCAATTTAAGTGGGGAAATCCCACCTTCTTTGGGAAATCTTTCTTCTCTCCAGGTGTTAGATGTGAAAGAAAATAATCTGCGTGGAGGCATTCCGAATAGCCTTGGCCAGTTGAAAAGACTAACATATCTTTCATTGGGTGAAAATTATTTGAATGGTACCATCCCTCCCTCCATATACAACCTCTCATCAATTACAGTCATTTCCGTGCTTCTAAACGAACTGCATGGAACTCTTCCTCCTGGGTTGGGCCACACTATATTTCCAAACCTCCAAGAATTTTATTTCTCTTCCAACCAATTCAGTGGACCGATACCAAATTCAATCTCCAATGCCTCAAGCCTTTCACTTTTTTCAATCTTATTCAATGAGTTTACAGGAAAAGTGCCTAGTCTAGCACGCCTGTCAAATTTGTATTTGTTAACACTTGCCAAAAACAGTCTTGGAAATGATGAGGAAGGTGACTTGGATTTCATCTCTTCTCTAGTTAATTGCACCAAATTAACATACTTTACTTTTAATTACAATAATTTTGGAGGAGTGCTACCTGAATCCATCAGCAATCTCTCAACAGAGCTCAACCTACTGCAATTAGGTCGTAACCAGATACGCGGAAGAATTCCCATTGGGGTCGGAAATCTAATCAACTTGGAGGTACTAGCCTTTGAGGGAAACCTATTGACAGGCACAATACCAAGTTCTATTGGTAATCTGAAAAGGTTGGATGCTCTGTATCTGAACGAGAATAAACTATCAGGTATCATCCCATCTTCGCTTGGAAATCTAACTTCATTAACCATGTTGCTTCTTATGTCAAACAAGTTAGAAGGAAACATGCCACAAAGTCTCGGAGAATGCATGAATCTTCTACCTTTAGATCTTTCCCAAAATAATCTTCGCGGTTAAATTCCTAAAGAAGTTATTGGTTTATCTTCCTTGTCACAATTTTTGGATTTATCCAGCAACAAGCTTATTGGATCCATACCAATGGAGGTAAGCAACTTGATGCATCTAGTTGCCTTGGATGTTTCTGACAATAGGTTATCTGGTGAGATTCCACGAAGCTTAGGGAGTTGTGTAGGTTTGACAACTCTGAATCTGAGTGAAAACTCATTACAAGGGACCATTCCTGAATCCTTGAGCTCTTTGAGAGGGATTGAGGATTTCGACCCTTCTCGCAACAACTTGTCTGGCATAATTCCCAGCTATTTGGGGAGTTTCCGCTTCTTGCTGAATTTGAACCTCTCGTTTAATGATTTTGAAGGTGCATTACCAATGAAAGGAGTTTTCGAGAACACAAGTGCACTTTCTATCACGGGAAACTCACGGATTTGTGGAGGTATACCTTCTTTAAGATTGCCCAAATGCGTCTCCAAGCATTCTAAGCAAGGCTTATCTTCTCGGCTGAAAATAATTATCTCAGTTGCTTGTGGGGTTGTTGGATTGAGTTTTGCAATTTTGTTTGTGATTCTTTACCGATCAAGAAAAGCAAGAGGAGTAAAGTCAACTTCAGGATCATCATTGGCGGTTTCACTTATGAAATTGTCCTACAACGATCTCCTTAAAGCAACTGATGGGTTCTCTGCAGCCAATTTGATTGGTGCTGGTAGTTTTGGGTCCGTATATAAGGGAATACTCGATCAGTATGAAGGAAGAATTGTTGCAGTGAAAGTACTCAATCTTCATGGTGCAAGAGCTTCCAAAAGTTTCATTGCTGAATGTGAAGCTCTGAGAACCATTAGGCACCGAAATCTTGTCAAGCTACTGACTGCCTGTTCAAGCATCGATTTTCAAGGGAATGATTTTAAAGCTTTGGTTTATGACTTCATGGTGAATGGAAGTCTCGAAGAATGGCTGCATAATTCAGCTCAACGGGGGGACAATGCAACCAATTTGCAGAAGAATCTGGATCTTATTCAGAGAGTAAACATTGCAATCGACATAGCGTGTGCTCTGGATTATTTGCACAACCGCTCTCACATGCCAATAGTTCATTGCGATTTAAAGCCAAGCAACATTCTCTTGGATGGTGACATGACTGCATGTGTTTGTGATTTTGGTTTGGCAAGGTTCCTCCCAGAGGCTTCTTGTCCATTTCCTGTGCACAAAAGCTCTTCCAATGCTATAAAAGGCTCCATAGGCTATATTGCCCCAGGTAAACTTTTGTGACCTATATACACACACAAATGAGATTTCGTTTATTTTTAGCATTAATTTCTAAAGTCATACATAAAATAATATATCTGGTTTTGTGAAAATAAATACACACACATATTGTTTGCGCTTGCACTATGTTTCTGTTTGTAGCATGAGTTTTTGAAGTCACACATAAGAACCTAGCTGTGTTTTTGTGCATATAACTTAAAGAGTATGGAATGGGAAGCAAGGTGTCAACATATGGTGACCTGTATAGCTACGGAATCCTGCTGTTGGAGATGATAACAAGCAAGAGGCCGACAGATGATATGTTTAAAGATGGTATGGACTTGCACAATTTTGTTACAATGGCTCTACCAGAACGTGTCGAAGAAATATGTGATCCACTACTTGTTCAAACGGAAGAAAGCAGCAGCAGTACTAATCCCAGAAGTAATAGGGGGAATCAAGTCCCAAATGATCAAAGACAAGGGGTTGTGGAGTGCTTGACTTCCATTGCAAGAATAGGAGTTGCTTGTTCTGCAGCAATGCCGAGAGATCGAAAGGACATGAGCAATGTTGTCACTGAGTTGTGTCTAACAAGGGATGTGCTAACTGAAACAAGGAGGCCTAGAGAGCATCAGTGATTACGGCCCCGAAGTAGTGAATCCCATGACGTGCTTTTATTTTTCATGGTGATCTTATTAAAATATTGAACGAGGGAATTGAACTCATTTCTAGAAAACTTTCTAGTGGTATCAGAAGATTCAGATCGATCTCCGAAGGCTAGTTTAGTCTCCAACGTGTGGGCGTTTGTCTGTAAGAAATATGAATAAAAACTATCACATGAGCGTTTGATTTTCATTGCAAGACGAAGGGCTGTGATAATTTGAACCAGGACGCCTAGTGCGCATATGATCACAGCCTAATTAGCACTTAGTACAGAGTCTAATTAGCTTTAGCTTTGTTGGAAGGCTTAAGTAACTAGAATAATAATAAGTTTAGAAATACGACTCCTTGACTCCTTGAAGCCAGACAGAGCGACCGGCCGGACATCAGCAATGCTGATTGCTGCAGCTGATCACGGCCTAATGTATCAAGTAATACCTTGTTATCAGTAGGGATGGGCAAATACCCATTGGTTATGGGTAACCGCAGTTACCCGCCCATTTAAATTAAACGGTTACGGTTATGGGTAACCATTTAGATAAATAAACGATTATTGGTATAACCGTTTACCCGTGAAATTTAAATGGACGGTTATGGGTATTAACTGCAGTTATAAACGGATAACCATTTACCCATTTATTTTATATATGTAAAACTAACACAAACCATGTTCTCGATCCAATAATACTTAACACCCAATAAATTAGCAAGGAATTCATCGGTCATTCTCTCAATAACATTGCTACAGGAATGATGATTCTCATCATCAAGGAATTCGCCAAATTAGTTTAAATTCTTTGCGGGTAACCATGAAATTAACAGAAATGCTTTGACAGAAATGTCTTCTAAACAATTTTTGTAACCCAATAATACTTAGCAAATATTATATTTACCTTCATTGGTAACAATTAAAAATATCGTCCGTAAACTATTATTTTAATTATTGGAATGGTATATGGACTTAAAAATTTAAAATACGGAAATGCATGATGAATGTATTTATAACGGTGTTTAATTGTCAAAAAAGAAATTATGACAATTTTTTTTTTAATTTTCAAATTGTTAAAAACATGTAAACGGGTGAAAAAAGGGTAATGGTAAAAAAAAAAAAAGATAAACGGGTTAAAAAGAGTAAATGGGTGGTATTAAACAGTTACGGTTAAATGATTATTCGGTTATGGGTATGATTAACAGTTTATAAATGGTTATGGTGTTGTGCTAGGATAGCACCAAACCTTATGGAACCAACTCAATCTAACCCACAGGAAATTTATCAAATGAAAATGCAAGAACAATATATAAAATAACACCAAGATTTTAACGAGGTTCCTCCACAGTCAGTGTAACTGGAGTACGTCCTCGGAGCAGTAGGAGCTCACCCAATAATCCACTATCAACCAAATGGGAGTTTACAAAGTGTTGGCAATCTCACAACCCAAATAACCCAATACACCCAATAGCTCTCACACACCAAGGAAACAAATAGAGAAAGAAATATAGTGATTAATTTCTTCTCTATACAAAGCTCAAAGCTATTACAATAATAATACTTTGATGGAGTGAGAACCAACCAAGAAAGAAAATCACATTTCTTTCTTATATGGAAGCTGCGTACCTCTCTTCTTCTTTCTGCTGCTCCCTTCTTCTCTCTGTTATCCGACTGTCTTTCTTCTCTTACAACCAAAGCAGCAATTGCTGCTCAAATTCATTAAGTCACCCCGTGACTTCTCACAGGGACCAAAGAACAAAAAACCTTTAGACAAGATCCATGTTTTCCTCCCCAAAACAAGGAAATATGTTGTCCACTTTTGGTTTGTTTAGTCTAAAGTATATGGCCACTTGGCCACATAATTCAACAATCTCCACCTTGGCCAAGTTCCGAAAACGACATGATAAGCCAACCAACACAATTAGCACACAACATCACTCCCAAACACTAGCAAGAGAAACAACTCATGCCGAGCCAAATGCTCCAAAACTCCTACTACTCAACGCCTTCTTTATATAGGCAAAATGTGAGCCAAGTTCAAACAGTGAACAAAACTTGGCTACACCAACAACCTTAGTCAACATATCAGCGGGGTTGTCTTTAGTTGGAATCTTCTGGAGAATGATTTCCCCTTCACCAACAATTTCACGAAACAAAGTGATAACGCACATCTATGTGCTTGGTCCTCGCATGATGAACCTGATACTTAGCCAAATAAATGGCACTCTGACTATCACAATGTACCTCCACCTGCTTCTGATCAACCCCCAAATCTGTAATAAGCCCATGTATCCAAATGGCCTCCTTTATAGCTTCAGCAACTGCCATATATTTTAGCCTCTGTAGTAGACAAGGCAACAGACGACTGCAAAATGGACCTCCAACAAACTGGCCCTTTAGCCATAGTAAACACATAGCCTGTAGTAGACTTCCTTCCATCCAGATCACCTGCATAATCTGAATCAACATAACCAACTGCAAAATGACCAATACCAGAGTCATCCCTCTCAAAGCATAAACCAACATCTCGAGTACCATGGAGATACCTCAATATCCACTTAGCTGCTTGCCAATGCTCTTTTACCTGGATTATGCATATATCGACTCACCATGCCAACTGCATGAGCAATATCCGGTCTAGAGCATACCATTGCATACATCAAACTACCAACCAAATTTGCATATGGTATATTTTTCATTTGCAGTTTCTCTTTATCAGTTTTAGGGACATTGTAGAGAACTCAATTTAAAATGAGAAGCCAAAGGGGTACTAACCGGTTTGGTTGAATCATGAACTCCAAACTTCCGAATCAACTTCTCAAGGTATTGTTTTTTATTCAAACTGACGAAACCCTTTGCTCTATCTCTAGTGATCTCCATGCCAAGGATCTTCTTCGCTTCACCAAGATCCTTCATCTCAAACTCATTCTTCATTTTGCTTCTTCAATTTCTCAATCTCTTCGACATTCTTTGAGGCAATCAACATATCATCAACATATATCAATAAATAAATGAAAGACCCATCTTGCAACTTCTTGAAGTACACACAATGATCATATTGACTTTCTAGAATAATTTTGGCCTCTCATAAATTTATCAAACCTCAAATACCATTGCCTTGGAGATTGCTTCAAGCCATAAAGTGATTTCTTCAATTTGCAAAACAAATTCTCCTTCCCTTTCACTATATATACCCATCTGGTTGACACATATAAATCTCTTCATTCAAATCACCATGTAGGAAAGCCGTTTTTACATCAAGTTGCACAAGCTCAAGATCATACTGTGCAACAAGAGCTAACATAATGCGAATTGAGGAGTGCTTCACAACCGGAGAAAAGATTTCATTGTAGTCAATGCCCTCCTTTTTGTGCATACCCTTTAGCAACTAATCTTGCTTTAAATCTCACATTGCTTTTCTCATCACAGCATCTTCCTTCTTGGCATACACCCATTTGCAACCAATAGCTTTCTTGCCCTTAGGCAATTTAGCTAACTCCCAAGTCTTGTTTTTTCAAGAGAGAATTCATCTCATTACCCATGGCATTGCACCACCTCTCCTTTTCTTCACTCTCAATAGCTTCCTCAAAATTAGATGGAATCTCTCATCAGTGATAATAGGAAGAGCAAAAGAAACATAGTCACTATACCGAGCTGGCTTGGTAATTTGTCTCTTTCCTCTGTTCTTGGCAATAGACTCTTGAGGTGAAACTTGCTCTTCAACTTGAATAGAATCTTCAAGTTCAACTTCTTCAACATCCTCATGGTCTCCAACTTCTTCACTTGTAGTGGCTTCGACATCAGCGGAAATAGGATTTGAAGTACCAGAGGCAACTTTCTCAAGCTCCACCTGTTGGACATCTTTCACATTCTTCTCAGAGACTTTGTACATACTTTCTTCATCAAATGTCACATCTCTGCTGATTACAATTTTTTTCATCTCTGGGCACCACAACCTGTAACCTTTGACACCACTACTAAAACCAAGAAAGATAGTCTTTTTGGGTCTAGGATCAAGTTTATTTTCAGTTACATGAAAATAAGCAGGTGAACCAAAAATACGAATATGATCATAATCAGAAGAAGGTTTTCCAGTCCATACCTCCATTGGTGTCTTACCCTGAATAGCAGCTGAGGGTAACCGGTTGATGATGTGACAGGCATAATTAACTGCCTCTGCCCAAAATGACTTGCTTAAACCCGACTGAGACAACATACATCTAACCTTCTCAAGCAAGGTTCGATTCAATCTTTCTGCAACTCCATTTTGTTGTGGAGTTCCCCGAACACTAAAATGTCTCACAATTCCTTCTTCTTTGCAAACTTTTAAAGAAAGGGTCGGATGTGTATTCACCACCATTATCCGATCTCAAAATCTTAATCTTTCTCCCAGTCTGGTTCTCAACCATTTTCTTCCATCCCAAGAAAATGCTTAACACCTCACTCTTGTGCTTCGTAGTGTAAACCCAAGACCTTCTTGAATAATCATCAACAAAAGGTCACGAACCAATGTCTACCACTCAAAGAGGGAGTCTTTGTAGGACCCCAAACATCCGAATGCACATAATCAAGAATGCCCTTCGTCTGATGTACAGCAGTACCAAACTTCACTCTAGTTTGCTTCCCCAAGACACAATGCTCGCAGAAATCAAGCTTACAAGTCGTGGCACCTTTTAGAAGACCTTTTTTCACAAGCCCTTGTAGAGCTTTCTCACCGGCATGGCCTAATCTCATATGCCACAGTCTAGTAGTATCTGAATCAAATGTGCCCATATTTTCAGAAACTACAGATGCTTCACCTGTCACAGTGCTTCCCTGCAATAAATACAAATGGCCACATCTAGGAGCTTTCATCACAACAAGTGCACCATAAGTAACTTTTAATGTCTGCCCATCTGAATGAAACCTGAAACCCTTGGATTCCAAAGTACCTAAAGAAATAAGATTTTTCTTCAAATTCGGTACATACCGAACACCTGTCAACTCTTTAACCATGCCATCATGCAACTTCAACCGAACTGTACCAATCCCTTTTGTTGTGCAAGGATTGTCATCTCCCATGAACACAACGCCACCATCAAACTCTTTCAAGCTTGAAAACCAATCCTTGTGAGGAGTCATATGATGAGTACAACCCGTATCCAACACCCACTTAGTAGCACAATCAAATGATGAGGAAGTGGTTAAAGCAAAATCAAAAACATCT